CACAACCCAAACATAATATTATGATTCCACAGTGTGATTTGCAGCAAAGTAATGATAGAATTATAGAATTGTGTATGTTCAGGTCATTATCATAGCAACTAGCATAATTTTTCAGACCAAACTTTAACACTGTTTACACAGCAGTATTAACCTTTAACTTCACACCTTCTGTGTTACAATGCCACTGCAAATATGATTGTAAGGGATCAAGTTTGTAATTACTATTTTTATTATACTTGGATGTCTTGAAAGATCCTAGGATTAAGTACACTGTGTTTAGAGAAACCTACATATAAAATACACAATGTTACCATAAAAACCTTTTGATATTCCTTAAGGAGGTTCTAAAGGTTATGTAAAGAAAATGTAAAACTTTAAGATTAAAATAAGTATTACTATTCCTATAATGAAATTCATCTTTCACACAAATTTACTCTGAAAATTCACAGATGAATTTTTCATAGAAATACTTTATTAAAAAATTTGATTTTTTGTATGCAACATACTCTTCACATTTATATACATGAGTACAACTTAAAGATAACAAGGGATTTGTTGGTCCATCTAGGCCAACCCATCCACTATACTAAACTTTAAGATGAAAAACTCAAAGTCAGCCCTTATCATTCAAATATTTATCAAGCATTCCCTTAAACACCTTTAAATTAACTGCATCTACCATATCTGAAGGCATCTCATTCCACAAGCCAACCATCTTGTCTGAAAAATATAGCTGTCTTAGCTGAAAATGACTCCACCTCTACCAAAAATTATGTATTTGTCTTCTAGTCTCACCATTTTTATTCTTAAAAATGAAAAAAGATGATGCATGAGAATTACCAATATTTTTAACAATCTTAAATATCTCAGTTATATTCCCTCTAACTCTTCTGTTTTCAACAGAAAACAAGTTCAGAGGTCTCAAATTGTCTCTGTATGATAACCTTTCCATCCCAAGTATCATCTTAGTAATATTCCTCTGAACCCTTTCCAACAATTCATTGTCCTTTCTAAGGTAAGAAGCCCAAGACTGAACACAGTACTTAAAATGTTTCCTATACAATGACATTATAATGTCTTCAAACTTTTATTCATTATTTCTGTAGATACAACCTATTATACTATTTGCCCTACCACAAGCAACAGTAGATTGCTTGAATGGTTTAAGGTACTGATCAAGCAGAACACCAAGATCTTTTTCTTCCATAACACTTTTAAAGCTATTCCCATCAAAATTATACTCATAATTTAAATTGTCATACCCCACATACATTACCTTGCATTTATTATAATTATAAGCCATATGCCATTTATTTGCCTAACTCACCAAATAATCCAAATTCCTTTGTAAAGCAGCAGCAGCATCCTCCTAACAGCCAGCATCACCCTAAATATTGTCATCAGCAAATTTAAATAACCTATTGACTATTCCTTCATCTATGTCATTAACATAGATCAAAATTGAGCAATGGTCCCCACATGAAAAATTAATCCATTTATAACAACACTCTGCTTTCTTCTATCTAGCCAGTTTTCTATCCAATGAGCCAACCTGTTCCTCACACCTACAGAGATAAACTTTTAACAAACTTTTTATTTGGCATCTTGTAAAATGCTTTCTAAAAATCTAGATACATCAAATTCACACCTTTAAACTCATATACATAAGCAGTAACCTCTTCAAATAATGTCAAAAAGTTACTAATTCAGATTTCTCCTGTAGTGAAACCATGCTGACTATCCAACAAAATGTTAAACTTTGTTAAATGACTTTGCAAAGCATCTTTTATTATTTCAGTGGTGGGAAAATATTTGAAAGTATAAGACTAATAGGCCTGTAATTACTAGGACACTTTTTATCATCTCTCTTGAAAAGAGTAACATTAGCCAAGATCCATTCTTCTGGCATCTGCTCACTATTCAAGGACTTGGAAAAAGTAGTGGTGAGTGGCTCACATATCCAGTCCCAAACCTCCTTCAAAACTCTTGGGTTATCTGGCCAAGGAGCTTTATCATTTTTTAAACTTCCCAATTTTTTCTTAACAAGCTCATAATTAATATGATCATCTTGTTCAATCTTGTTTCCATCTAGCTACTGTTGAGGATGAGAAGTATTGCTTAAATATTCAGTAAAATCTGAAGAAAACATGAAATTTAATAACCCAGCCATCTAATAATCATCAGATATTAACATTCCTGTATCATCCTTTAAAGGCTCTACTCCCATCTTAACATTTTGCTTCCCCTTAATGTATTTAAGATATACTTACTATTAATTTTTACATTTTTAGCCAACCGTTTTTCATATATTTTTTTCTAATTCCTAATTTCCCATTATTGCAATCAATTTAAATTTCTTATATTTATATTTTTTCTTTAATTCTATCGATTATACCCTATGTGAGACAACCTGGTTTTTTTTATTTACAATCACTTTTTTTAAATAAGGAACATGCCTATCCTGAATATGTAAGAATATATTTTAAAAAAATTTCTACATTTGATTAGCTTCACAACAGGTAATTCTCATCCCTTCAATTTCTTTTTTAATTTGGAACCAAAATCTCATTATTCCTTATCTCCACATTCAGCAAAACATCAAATCTAATTGAGCAATGACCACTTGTACCCAGATGTTTCCCAATCTTTACCATGTCAGCCATTTCTGTATTATAAGTTAACAATAAATCTAAAATTCATTGTTTCTGGCAGATCCCCTAATCAATTGGTGAAAAGAACCATCCTGAACAGTTTCTTAAAACTTGTGTCTCTCATGACTTGCTTTTAACACTTCCAGTCTATGTACTGAAATTAAAATCTCCTATTATTGTAACCTCACTAACAATTCAATTATTTATCTAACTATAGAGTTTCTCATTAATTTCATAATTTATCTCATAGTCTATAAAAGGTTTAAACTAAAAGAACCCCTAAAAAATTCAATCTCCATGCTAGTAGCTTTAATATCCTTATCTTCAACAGGTTGTAACTCACATCTATATATTTAAGAGGCTAATGTCCGTCTGTCTGCAAAACTCCTCCCACAGTTTAAGTCCAATATGGATGAAACTTCCTATGATTTTTCAACATCATAAGAAGTTCCTCACAAAGTTTCATTACAATTGGGTCTCTTATAAGAAAGTTTATTTTGTGCATGTGTCCATTTTTTTTTTAAAGAAATAAGTCAATAACAGCCTTATATTGTACCAAGATTAAAAATGTTGTACAACAGATCCTTGCTATAATTTAAAGAAAATAGGAACGTATTTTATAACATTTTCTCCTAAATTGCTTCCTTAATGGAGAAATGGTACTTCTTTCCTTTTCAGCCACAGCATAGTGGCTCATGGAATGGCTCCGAGTTTTTCAAGTACAAACTTTTAGTTCATAGCTCCATCATCTCTTGTCTGATTTAAGATCTAATTACAGTTTTCAACTCAGAAGGTCAAACCCTTTTGATCAATGTATTTGACCATGCCCAAGGTCTCATAGATTAACTTACTCTAATTCTGCTTAAAATAATTTCAATTTGATGTATGCTGGTAAAGATCCTGATGAGAAATAAAATTCAATTGGGTATACAAGCTCCCCACACTTGGTATTGGTGGCTCACAAAAATATAGCTAATAAAAAGGGAAACAAAGATCTCGCAGATTAATTTACTCTAATCCTGCCTAAAAGAATTTCAAGTGCCATGGCACTTGATTCCCTCGTTTTTAAATAGCATAATAATCATGATCAGCATGTCTTCTGTTTATATCAAATAAAAAGTAAAGAATGAGAACCTTAAGATTATAAGTGGGCATTCCACATTTTTTTTTACAGGGGAATAAAAATCAGCATTTTTTTACCAATGTTATAAAAAAAGTTACCTGCAAACCTCAACTGAACACTTTACCTAATTTTTTTTTTTTTTGGTAAGGTTTGTTTATCCAAAAACTTCATTTAAAATGGTAATTCTTGCTCTGTTCGTAATGGTATATTGGATATCACTATTCTAATGGCAGCATTTTTGGTATCATGATTTGAAGTACCAGGGTAATGCAGAGGATCTGATATACTTTCAAAAATTTTTGATAACGTGGTACATAAGTGACTTTTCAGTGAGATTCCATTTTTTTGGATAGAAAATAAGCTATTTCAATGGACTGACAGTTGGATGGATGATTGAATGTTGTTATTGATGGAGAAAAGTCACAGAGGTTTTAATGCTACAAGTGTTTTGAGTTAGGACTTTTGATTTTTCTCATTTTCATTAATGACACTGATGATAGAAGAGCCAGCAAATTATCTAAATTTGTAGGTCATAAAGTTGTAAACTAAATTTTTAATGTTTCATTTAAATGTTTGCTGGAGGGAGCATGTTATTACAATAATGTTAAGATCAGGAAAGTTTAAATATTAAGAACTGAAAAAGGCTATGATAATTGATATACACGTGAGCAAGCATTGATTGATCGATTGAGTCAATTTGGTGTCAGAAAAGACATTCACTATTCTGTATTCAGTGTTAGCAATGAGTTATTAGGTCTATTCTGCTATTCAGTTACTCTGTCAGTTACTCGTTTATTTATCAAAGCTAATTAAAATAGGTACAATTACCATTAGTATTAGAAATTAGAATTTCTACTTAAAGTGAAACACTGTTTGTGAAATTAGACCAACATTAGTTTCAGAGATTATGTTGAAAAGTTTACTTATCAAATTATGCCTAAAACTTGCAAGTGAACATGGTTACAGTAAAGTTAATGATTTATTGGAGAAATCAATTATTTTGTGGACGGACTGAACTTGGCCTTGTAGTTATATTTACCCAATGACAGAAAATGTTACAATAATTTCAATAAATTATATAAATGGGAATTCAAAATCGTACTCTTAAAATAAATAGTCTGTAGTCTTGCTGAGAGAATTAGCCTATTTGTTTTTCAATTGTACTAAAATATTAATTATGCGAATTAGTTGTAATAATAATATTACTTTTAACTAAGCCTACGTACCTAATGGAAAATCCGGGCAATATACTTCAGTATTAGAGCATATAATATCATTAATATATTTTACAACGTGTATTTTCTTCTCCTCCTCATCTAATATAGAATTTATTCTCTGTGAAAGTTCAAACTGGCATAATCTTAATTTGTCTAATGACGACAAATCACCTGGGTGTTTATTTGTATCCATTCTAGGCTCGCGGGAAACAAATTTGCAGCATCTACTCCACCTGGCATTTATTCGGGCAGCAGTCACAAAGTGATTCGAGGATTAATTTATTTTTCCATGTTATAATGCTTAAAAAAACGAATTGGACAAATAATTGCTTGATAATTTTATATGTGAATACTCCCCCCTCCCTCAGTAGCACAGCGGTATGTCTGCGGACTTACAATGCTAGAAACTGGGTTTCGATACCCGTAGTAGGTAGATCACAGATAGCCCATTGTGTAGCTTTATGCTTAACTTCAAACAAACAAACAAATATATAATAGATACTTTTCTGTCATTAAATATTATTATAAACATAATATGAAAACGTGATTTGCTACAGTAAATAGAAACGCTTCTCATTTACAGTAATAATATGCGAGTTTGAATGCACTTATTAGTGCTTGTTGCCCACCTCTCCACCAATAATAATTTAAATTTTATCACTATTTATACTTATTTCTTTCTTTTTTTACTTTATCAATTAGATTCTTGAGACTGACAGTCTTTATATTTATCATATTTGTTCATAAAAGCATTCACCGACGTTGTCTCCAGAATATCTCTATCGCGATTAACTATTTCATTCCATATGTTTACTATTCTTTGTGTATAGAAAGTTCTTCTTAGTTCCTTACTGCAGTGTTTTTATATATTTTTGCTGGGTCCTTTGGATTTAGCATAAATATATTTTCAAATCCCTTGATAATCTTAAAGGTCTCTATTATGTCTCCTTTCCTCCTGTGTAATTAGATTTAATCTCTTCATATGCTTTATCCTTTAACTCATGAACCAGTTTTGTGGCTCTTGTTTGCACTCTTTCCAAGGCATCAATATATATATATTTTAGGTATGGTGACCAAGCTTGTACAGCATAGTCCAAATGTGGTCTTACATAGGTCTTATATAATATCAAAAATGTCTCAGCATCCAGAAACTCAAAGGAAAATCTAATGATTCCAAGAATTTGGTTGGCCTTCCTAGTAATTTCTAAAATATGGCACTGGATTTTTAGGTCTGAAGAATGTAATATACCTAAATCTTTTCCAGTATCTGTAAGATTTAGGTTAATCCCATTCATGAAATAATCTTGCTTGGAATTACTTATTCCCGATTGCATAACCTTACATTTTCAATATTAAAATTCAACATCTACTCCTTTGACAAATTTGTTAATATCTTGAGATTGGTCCTTAATTGTTCATACTGATCTTTAGCTCTTACCAATTTATATATTATAGAATCATCAGCAAAATATTTACATCATGATTTAATATTCTTAAGTAGATTATTAATGAATATAGCAAACAAGATCGATCCGATCACCGAGCCCTGGAGAACACCACTAATAACCTTCTTCCATCCAGACTTTTCTCCATTGATTGAGACACAATGAAATCTATTAATGAGATATTCTTCAGTCCAATTATATATATTTTCTGTAATACCATACTCTTTTAACTTAAGTAGTAATCTTCTATGAGGGACAAAATCTAATGCTTTGTTAAAGTCAACAAATATAACATCAAATGCTGCACTCTCATCATATAGCAATGTCCAGTCTTCCAATGTCTCAATTAAATTAGTAAGACATAATCTTCCTGGTATAAAACCATGTTGCGAGTCTGAAATTATATTTACCTTTCAAGTTGATCCATTATCCTTGTTCCAATAATTTAACCACCTGTGGACTGAGAGAAATTGGTCTATAATTTGATGCAAGTTTCTTGTCTCCCCTCTTATGAATTGCAGTCACAATAGCAGATCTTCAGTCATATGGTAGTTTTGCTCACTCTAGATACTTGCTAAAAATTATTGTTAAGGGCTTTGCTAATTGATCTACTGCCAATTTCAATATCTTTGAATGGATATTATTAGGTCTCATGGCTTCTAATTCGTTGATCTGCTTCATTTACATTATATTCTCGGTTATCTTCTTCAGTCCCGAACAAAGACTGTGCAGCCTCACTCGAAATTCCAACAGCCTCATACACATCTTACTTTAACACAGATACAATATATTCATTAAGCATCTGTGCTGTTTCCTCACTATTCTGTGTCAGATTTCCATTAATGTTAACTATCCTGTTGACAGGTTTTTATGTTATTTTTTCTATTTAGATATTTGTAAAAATATTTCTTATTAGTCTTCATATCTTTAACGAGGTTTTTTCCAAATTTGCATTTTATTCTTCATGTAATTCTTGCTGACTTATTTCTCTGTTTTACATATTCTTTATAATTTCTTCTAGATTTCATAAGTTTAAATCTTCGCCAAGCACATGTCTTGTCCCTGAACGATTTAGCAGCCTCTCTATTAAACCATAGGGGTTTAACTTTTTCTTTATTATCGCTGTTATACTTTAGTACTGTTACGTCTCCGTTTGTTAATTAACTTTCCGTAACTTTGTTCCAACGAAACTTTAACGACATAAGTCTTTACTTAATAAAACTGGTTTATTCTTTCCGAATATAACTCTGCGATACACTTAATCTCAATACTCGCGCTAAAACAACACTGTAACGAACGAACGTTAACTTCAACAATACTGTGTGACTGCAGTTCAATTACTCACTATCTATACACACATTACAACTTTCTTTTATATACCAGCGTACCCTATTTCTAGTAAGAACTTGAACATTCGTCAAAGTACATGATAGTTCTAGAAACGTTGCGTCACAGTGTCATGTGACTCACTGACGCAACAGTACATTTACGTTGACACAATTACTGTATTTATCCCTAAAAATAGTCCATGGTTCTTCTATATTTTTAACTGCAAGCAGTGCATTCCTCTCCAAGTCTAGAATTAATTTTATATTATCTTCATTAGATTTGTAAAATTTAGTTTTTCTTTCTGGGGGGGGGGGGGAGGGTCAATTGTAGACTAACTCACGCCGTAATCAGAAACAATCATTGCATGGTCACTCTTTCCTAAGGGTTTCATAATAATTAGATTATCTATTTCTACATAGTTTTTATCACTAAATCCAGGAGGCTGGGAATATTACCTCTCCGAGCTCATGTAAATTCACGTATATGCTGATACAAATATCCATCCTCCAAGCACTCAACAAATCAATCAGAGAGGGAATTTGCATCGCCCACACCCTGCATGTTGTCCCAGTTTACATTTATTGTGTTGAAGTCTCCAACAACCAATACGTGTTCACAATTTAAAGACACCACTTTGATTATCTTTTCAAACAGTAAGCTATCATTATCAGCTCCAGCAGAACCACGCCTGTAAACCAAACCAAAGGCCACTATATTACCATCTAAAACTAAAGTCAGCCACAGAGGCCTAAAATTGAAATCATCCTTTTTATTATCTATTTCGAATACTTTCTCAATTTGAAACAGCTTTTATCTCCAAGTCTGGAATATACTTTCATGTAAGCCACATATTTGATTTAAGTCATAACTCATTCTAGTTTGATTATTTGTTACATTATCTGGGGCTTCTTTAATACCAAATATCACAATATTGGCTTTCCTTTTCTCTCTCTCAAAGTGTTCATTTAAATACTCCTCTACAAACGCTTATACAGTTATAGATAAAAACGCGGAACATATTCATTTATAAAATTATACAAAGAACATTAATAGGATATGAATATGTGCTGCTAATGTTATCTAAATAATAGCTCTCTGATCTGATTGTGTGAACCCCAGTTGGTATTGTTGCGTCAGCGAGTCACATGACCACCGTGACGCAACGTTTCTAGAACTATCATGTACTTTGGCGAATGTTCAAGTTCTTACTAGAAATAGGGTACGCTGGTATATATATAAGAGGGGACAACCTGACGCGGGAAGAGGTATAGATAGTGAGTAATTGATCTGCGGTCAGAAGTATTATTGACGTTCGTTGATATAGCGTTTGTTTAGCGCGATTGTTGAAGTTGAGTGTATCGATAAAGTTGTATTCGGAAATAATAAACCAGTTTTTATTAAGAAAGAACTTGTGTCGCTTAAGTTTCGTCGGAACGAAGTTACGGAAAATCAATTAACACACGGAGACGTAACAGTATGTTCGTTTCGTCTACATGATTTATTTACCCTAACAGCATAGTTTTGGCTTTCTCTTTCATTGCTCGTAATAATCAATTATATATTTAGTCCGAAGAATTTTTTATTACGATACTTTAGTCACACGAACATTTGAAGATGTACGAAACTACGGAACCAACATTTTAAGAGTTTTTGCGTCTTGCCGACAGCCCAACACGTTGACTTGAGCTAAAACAAATACGATATTGATTAGAGATTTCCCATGTAAGCTGACATCTGTCTTGAGGGAACCCGGGAAACTGATTCGTCTTGTTGACAGGGCAACAGGTGCCACGAATAGGATAGTAAAACATTTGCTCTACAGTTGTTTTTGTCCCATCACCGAAACTTTTCAGTTTATGAACTTACTACACGTTTTACTCTTATGCGAAAAACATGCCTCAGCCTAAAGGAAGTAAATAAGTTGTTTGGGACTTTTTTCCAAATTTACTCAGTTTTTGCGACATTTTTATCTACAAAACTCCTCTACACTCTTGATATTTAAACCAAAAACAAAAATGTAGTTTTTAGATTTTAGGTTTTAGCTTAAACTTAAAAGCTTTGATATTTATATATTTCTTTATTTTTATTATTTATTTCATAAAAGTCAATTCATCAATGTTTAGAGAGTCTTTAAATTATTAGTATCAAAGTAATAATAAAACAGTTCAGAATTAACACACTCTCGTTTGTTTTTTTGCGAATCAGTAGCATTCTTTTTTCCAGAACACTGGATTTTTTTCAGTTACCGTTTGTTAATCTCGGTTTTCGATTTAAAATTTCTTCAGTTATTGTAGTCCTGTTCTAACTTCTCTACACACAATATCATTCAGAATTATGTTTTGTGTTCGTCTGTCCTTGATAGCAACACAACCTTGTCTCTGGAACATTTGCTGGGTATTTGTACATATTTGTGAATAATTTTCT